TTTAGAATACTAGCTTTTATTTTTGTATTTTCTAGAAGGTGAAAGATACAAGGAAAGCATTCATTACTTAAATGTGCGTAGAATGATCGTATAATTTTTTTAACGCAAGTTAATAAGAAAGGCGGAGAGATCATCCGAAACATTTTATAAATAAAAATTAAACAACATAGAAACTAAAACTAGTAACTAAACTACAAAGCACATTTGTTTAAGTCACTGGTGCAAAACGTGAAGCTCAAGTTTTTCATGTTGTAATCTATATATATACCAAATTAATGGTCATTCATACAAGCTACAAAATGCTCTGACTCTTCATAGATAATACATGAATAATGCAGTTTGTTTCGCTTTAAAATATGAAGTGTTTGGACGAAGTTATTGTTTTTATCACGTCCTCCAGCGGCTCAGTGGTAAATCTGAAGGTTTATAAACACTAAAATGTATGGTTTGATCTCTGCGGTAAGCATAGCGCATGTAGCCCATTACACAGCTTTGCGCTTAAACGAAAAAAACAAACGAAACTTTCTTTTATCACTCCTGAGTCAGCGTAGTCGAAGCGCTAAATGCCAGTAGTTGTTTATTTATTCATAAGCAACTGGAAAATGGTCAAACGTACGTCACATAGCCGACGAAAATATTATTGTTTTAAGACGAAAGATCAAAGGTCACGGATATTACATTACTTCTGGATTTCTAGAAAAAAATAAAGAAGCCAAATTTATAGGGTGGTTCAGGTGTTCCAAAACATACAGGAGTCAGAGGTCAATGTTCAAAATTACCGGTCACTTGTGGGCGTAAAACGTGCGTTGTCACGATTCGAGTACTTTGTTTCATTTTGAATATAAATTCGTGCTTCAAAGTTAATTACGATATTCTACAGATGACACATCAGAATTATCATAGTGTTCATTCTCATCGTTTAGCTTATGCAAGGCTTAAGGAGTTTATAGTTACTGTTCAGCCAATCAAGAAACTTCACAAATTGGTTCAACGAAAGAGGCCAAATAAAAAAAACTGTGTTGTTTTGATTATTTTTGTGATACTGTTAATTTAAATGTCTTCTTATGTTTGGAAGAGTGCTCGGCATGGCCATGTGGTTAGGACGCTCAACTCGTAATCTGTTGGTCGCAGGTTCGCATCCCCATCCCACCAAGCATGCTAGCCCTTTCAGCCATGGTGGCGTTATAATGTAACGGTCAATCCCACTATTCGTTGGTAAAAGAGTAGCCCAAGAGTTGGCGGTGGGTGGTGACGACTAGCTGCCTTCCCTCGTGTAGCTTTGCGCGAAATTCAAAACCAAACCTGTGCTTTAGATTTATACATTTTCTTTATGTTAATAGTTTCCGTTATAAAAGTGATTTTGAACTAATGATTTATCGCCTGCGTGCTGGAGAACAAGGTTTGTCTTCGAATAGAAATAGTTTCGATCAGATGAACTTAAGACTCATAGTTACGTGGTTTTCGCTTGATTTTACTGATGAAATTGGTTGAATAAAACTAGATTCTCCACATACATATATTTGTGATCACTATATGATATTTGACTCAAACGGTTTGTATAAAATAGAGAAAGCTTCAAGATTGCGTGCTTGAAATAGATTTTCCTAATTCATTTTTGGACGTATTCATATGTTTAAGTTGATATTGAATGTCTATTATTAATCAGCTGTAAGAGTTAAGCAAGTGTTTTACCCTTCTCTACATAACAGTATAGTAAGCAAGTGTTTTACCCATCTCTACATAATAGTATATCTGTCAAACTTCGCAGTATAAGATTACTGATATAGTTGACATAAAACATTGACCATCAAAAATAATGATGAAAAAAATCAGAAAATTATCCCCTTTCTATACGCAAAGAAAGAAATTTAAAAGCTTACCCACCCAATTTATGGTTTTTAGACAGTAGGGGTGCTATTATCGCCAGGGTGTGTTGAGGTTGTCAGGTAATATTGCTTATATTATGCGTCTCGAAAGCACGATAATTGGAAGGTATCTCAGCACTTAGGGTAACAAGTTGTTGAATCAGGCCTATCTTATCAACACTCACAATTAAGTTAACAAGTCTCCCTTATTTTATATTTATATTTATATATGTTTACTAGAGAAAGGCAGAAAGAGAAAGAGATTAACAGATGTGCAAGATCGTATTGAAAGTGTCTTCATGTTACGTGCAACTGTTATCTTTGTGTAATAATGATTTTTCTTAAGATGTCTGCCAATGACCTTGCAATACAAAAGTGATACTGAAAGATTACACAGGGTGGGGCAAAAGTTACTATACAGTTGGGTGGGACTAAAGTTACTCTACACTTAGGTGGGGAAAAGTTATTACACAATTGGATGGAGAAAGTTAGCGTACATATGGTATAGTTGGTGTTGTAAAGTTGGTACTAAAGAAAACATTGCCAAGACAATTGAAACCAATGTAATTATTGTTTGTTTCAGTGTAAGACGCCAGAAATTAAACTATGCTCTAAAATCTAAACGAAACAATTGTTTAGTTACTTTTGACCCACATTGTATTTCTTAACGTACAGTTTTATTTGAATGTCACTACCACAACTGTGGTGCATACACCAATGGTCGCCACACCTAGTTACTTCATCTGCTATTATCATTGTTACAAGTGGGTGTTCCTGGTAACATTTGGTGATTAATGTCACTATGCGACAGTTCTGGTGGATACACTAATGTTAGCGACATCTTGTTATTTCACCTGTTACAAGTGGGTGTTCCTAGTAACATTTGGTGATTAATGTCACTATGTGACAGTTCTGGTGGATATACTAATGTTAGCAACACCTTGTTATTATCTTTGTTACAAGTGGGTGTTCCTAGTAACATTTGGTGATTAATGTCACTATGTGACAGTTCTGGTGGATATACTAATGTTAGCAACACCTTGTTATTATCTTTGTTACTAAGTGGTTGTTCCTAGTACATTTGGTGATTAATGTCACTATGTGATAGTTCTGGTGGATACACTAATGTTAGCTAACACCTTGTTACTTCACC